AACACACTCGGGCCAGCTTCCTTTTTCCCTGAGATAGGATCTCATTACACAGTCCAGGCTGTTCTCAAACTTTTTTTAAATTTTAATTAATTACAATTTATTCACTCTGTATCCCCCCATGTAGCTCCCTTCACCCTCCCCTCCCAATCCTCTCTCCCTGTTCTCTTTTGTCAATCCTTTCTCAGCTTCCGTGTGCCTGCATTAGACATGAGCCTGTAGGCGGTGCACACCTTTAATTCCCGCATGAGGACAGAGGCAGGAGGGTCTCTGTGAGTTTGAGGCCAGCCTGGTCTACAGAGCAAGTTCTGGGACAGCCAAGGATGCACAGAGAAACCGTGTCTCAAAAAAACAAAACAAAACAAAACAAAAATACTCTGAAGGGGGCTGGAGAGATGGTTCAGCAGTTAAGAGCACCAATTGTTCATCTAAAGGACCCTAGTTCAATTCCCAGCACCCACACGGCAGCTCACAACTTCTGGGCTGTCAGAAAAACAGAGAACCATGTGGAAGGGTAATGCTAGGAGACCACCAGAGGAAGCCTGGAGCACCATGGGCAGGACAGATATTCAAGGACAAAAATATGAAGCAGAAGCATGCCTTCATCTTTGACTATGCCTTCCTAAAATAAAGCAGGTGGGTGTGGTGACACATGCCTTTTAACCCAAATCCCAGGATGCAGAGGCAGGAGGATCTCTGTGAGTTTGAGGACAGTTTGGTCTACAAAGCCCAGCCAGAACAGCCAGGGCTACACAGAGAAACCCTCTCTTGAAAACTCAAAAATAATTTTTAAATTAAATTAAGATGATTCAAGGACAACACAGAGAACAGATCAAAATTATTATCCCAGGAGCTTTAAGGATGGTAACAGGCTGAAGTGGAGGTGCCGTCTTTAACCCCAGCACTCCAGAGGCAGAGGCAGAGGCAGGAGGATCTCTGTGAGTATAAAACAAACAAAAAAATCAAATTATTATCACTCTTGGGGGCAAATGGCGGGTATGTGAGGTGGGAAGACGTTAGAGAGCTACTATCTCCTTCCACCTTTCTGTGGGCTCTGGGATATACATCTGTGGATACAGTCTGCTCACTGTGTGTTACTCATGCGCCTGGTTCCAGAGCCAGCTACTTAGTAGTGGATAAGCAGCCGTGTGCTCTTCCCCTAGGAGGACTGTTTCTCCCACTCTCCACTCGTTAGTTGCCTGCGGTTCTCTATGTTGAGCCCTCATGAGCAGTCTCCTTCCACTGTGCCACATTGACATTTGTTGTTCTTGAGACAGGGATTTTCTGTATATGCTTGGCTGTCCTGAAACTCACTGTGTAGATCAGGCTGGCCTTGCTTTCAGCAACGTCCTCCCTCTACTGGGATCAAAGGCCACCACCGCCTGGCTTCCTGACCTTCTCAGCACGAGCAGGGCCCTCCCACCACTTACAGGGCTGGCCTCCCATAGCTGCTTCTCTGCCTGTGTCCCCATCTCTTGGAGGGATGGTGGCTGGGCGAGGTGGAAAAGTGAAGTCTTACGAAGGGACAGTCCTTTCCTGGCTCGTGGCTGCACGTTGTGGACTTCTCTCTTTGCTGAGCCTGCCCTCCAGGATGCTCAAGCCTGCCATTCTATCCCTTGGTCGCGTGGACTCAGGGAGGGGTTCTTCCATCAGTTGTCCAGGGAAGGAGCTGGCTGACTGGGCTGGTTAGATCTGGTTAGATGCAGACAGCTATAGCTGTTCTACCCTGAGCCTCATGCCAGGCTTGTCTGCCTCACACATTTTGTCTTCCCATACATTTTGTAGATATTTGTTTTGCTTTGTTTGTTTTCAGCATCTCATCTTGTGTAGGTTGTCTTTGAATTTGTTATATATCCCAGGATGGTCTTGAACTCCCGGCCATCCTGTTTCTAGCACCAAGTGCTAACATTACAGGCATATGCCCTCAAGCACAGCCTACTTTTGCTTGCTGCCAGTTTTTGTTTTTGATTCTTTTATTTATACACAAACAGGGTTGATCATAGAAAAACCTTCCAAAGAGGTAGGAAACAGGGAAGGAGGGAAGGAGGGGTAGTGCAGGACTTAGGAATTGTTTTCTGATGATGCTCTCTGAGCCTCACTGATTTTAAGTCAGTCACTGAGGGCGGGGAATTGTGTGCCCTCTGCCTATGGGAGGGCTCCACAAGCGGCCGGGACAGGCTGAGCAGCAGTGATGCTGCAGGGTCTTATTTTAGGGAGGTCGGCAGGAGTTGCTTGTGTTCAGAATGGCATCAGGGAAGACCTCCAAGAGGAGGCCCCTTCTACAGTGACATGAACATGTGTTTGCCTGACGGAGAGGGGAAGGCAGAGAGAACAGCAGCTCGCCAGAGGGAACGTGGCTAATCTTGGCACCAGGCCCCTGGGTAAGCGATGGTTGGCGGCCACCGTGTGCAGGGGTTTGCAGAGTGATGTTTGAGGGGAAGGAGACTAGGCAGCGGCAACCCTTGGAGTCGGAGCCATAGATGTGGGATGCTTTAGTGACCGACTTTGCCACACACAAAGGGGTGGTTGCAGTGTTCACTACCTGCATTTGGGAGAAATTATCAGAGGCCTCCATGTCTCTGCCAAGCCCTGACTGAGAACAAAGAGTATGGAGTGGGCACGGGTGGACGTTTGGCTCTGGGAGCTTCATACCTGCAGGACGGAAATAACAGGAGCATCCACCCCAGGAATTAAATGAGACAGTGTCTTGAGTGAAGATAAGCTACTCCTGTTTGTGAACTACGACTGTCATGGCACATACCAGAGGCAGGATCCTTCCTGGGGTTGGCCTGGGTTCCTAGTGGTTTCAGATAAGGGCACACTGTTTTCACCACACAGGCAAAATCAAACCATTATCCTTCCATGGCACCCTAGCTCCTTCCAAGGCCCCACATGTGCAGGCCTCTGAGAGCTTCCTTATCCTTATCACCTCTTTTTGCCCCTCCAGCTTCCTGCCCTGTGCTCTAGACTGCAGTCATGCTCAACTGTGTCAGCTACTGTGGTCTGGAGTTCTCTGGGCTCTTCTGCTGGAGTATCTGTGTCTTCTTCCCTGACCATTCCTTTATATCCTTCAGAATTCCTCCTTGAAGGATCTTTCCTCCTCCTGAAGATCTTTCTAGATCTGTTGGGTGCTCTTCAGGCACTTCTGGTTTCTTTCTCCACAAGGCTCTGATCATCCTCAACAACTGTTTGTGGAGTTAATGAATCAAAAGGGAACAGTTCTGAAAGAGATGGAGGCCCGGCCAGTAATCCTAGCAGGTACCTTTCCTCATGGTACAAATCATGATCAAGCAGCCACGGATTATAGATGAGGGTGTGGAGGCTGAGGTAATGCCACTTTGCCTGGAGTCAAACCCTGACATCTGTGTGTCTCGCGTGCCTGTTTTTACACAGCATCTGTTGGGTGTGCAGGCTAGGATGAGGGTGGAGGCCCACCACACCGCTGAAAGTCGTGGTTCTGAGACCTTGCTCAAAGGCCTTGACCTCCTGGCTCTTAACTTTCATAGACTAGTAAAGGGTTAAAGGAGCAGATGCGTGTCAAGTGCTCAGTGGCGTCTAATGCAAAACACACGTTGGGCAAGCACTTATAGTCATCTGTCTCCAGAGGACGTGCAGGCCCAGAATAGGTTCCTGAGCTGTGCTCGACCAGTGAAGAGCTAGGTCTATACCCCAGAACCCCATCTTACAGGAAAGCAGCCCTGACTCACTTGAGGATTCAGTATCCTAGTGAAAATACAGGCTCTGAGAAGAGACTCAGCTCAGCTCAAATAAGCATGCTGTTTGAGTCACTGTAGTAGACAGTTTTACTCTAAGAGGCAGGGAGGGCCCTCAGGTGTTACCCAGGGAAGTCTGATTTTTCTCGGGGTCCCAGTCTTAGTCATGTCAGTAATTAGGTCATCCTGAATGTAGGGGAACGGCAGGAGGTCAGGGAGGAGGTTCCTGAAGGGCAGTAGTGTGAAAAGATCAGCTAATCTCTCTCAGTACTTTTATTTAACCCCCCCTCCCCCTGAGGCCACAGGTTTTCTGGCACAGCATCTCCTGTTTTGCTTCCCAAAACAAGAGCCCAGTGCATTGCCTCGGATGCAGGAAATGGTTGCTGAAGGAAGTGATGAACTACAGTTCAGCATTTGTCAAGCCTGGAGCTGCTAAGGGTAGATTGTCAGCCTGTCACGGGGTCCTCCCAGTGGCCTGTGACTGGGGGGGCCACAGGTGAGGAGACTGAGGCTGGGTGCTGGAAAATAATTTCTTCAAGGCCATCCAGAGCCAGTTGCAAGTACCTCAAATTGGGCTATGCACTGGGAAAAACTTTGATTGGTGTGATTAGCATTGGGGGTAACTGCCAGTTAGAAGTGACTGGCTCCAATTATTAGCTGTGAAAAAGGAACCAGTTAGAGCTTTACTGTTGAATTGCATGATGGGGTTAGCAGGAGTGACTCCTTAGAACAAAAGGCTGGGCCCGTGGGATAGGGCCCTGAATTGTGCCCCAGCTTTTCTCCGGCTAGTTCTGGCGCAAGGAAAACTGCCAGTCAACTTGGCATCTGGAAATGTGAGTGCCTCTGTCTTCAACAGCGGTTGCGGTGGCCTCGAGGCTCTTGGTTGCACAGGACGCTCTTGGCAGGGCCAGAGTTCTCCCTGAAGGTAGGCCAAAGGCCTGCTTCCGAGCCTCCTTTAATGGACTGTGGGTGTTGGACAGCAAACAGCTGGAAGCATCCTGAGCTGCTGCTGCTGGCTGGGCCCGGTCACCAGGTGAAGGCCAGGGAAGGATGGAGTCGGCTCAACCCTTACAGAGAGCGACTCTTGCAGACACCCGGTGGGCGACTGCCCCGAAGTGGCTGCTGTCCCCCGTGGGCTCCAGTCACCCGAGGGCCCCCGGAAACACTCCACCGGGGCAACCACGAAGCACGTTTCCTAAGCCTCTGGAGGAATGGTGGTCACGTGGCCACCGAGGGCGGCGCCCTCAGCTTTGAAATGAACTCTAAATCACCGAAGGCTTTCTGGAAGAGGCGGAAATTCTCTGGCGGTCCAATATGGCTTTCCCTCAACAACAAGGTTGCGCTTAGCGCTCTAGGGACCAAGTAATGCCTGCGGTGAGCTTCCCGCTGTGAAGCAAGCCCGGGAACAGAGGGGTCCCGGAAGCGAGCCGAGAGCCTCACGGGCCGGCGGTGGCGGGGCCAGGCCTGGCCTGGCTCCCCTGACCTGTCCTTCCACTCAGTGTCTTTGAGGAATGGCCGCGCTGCAGCCCTGCTAGGTCGGTGCTGCGGGGCCCTGGCGGCGAGCGCACGCCTGAGCTCCGTCCTAACGTGGAGCGTCCCTAGGCCGCGGGCTGCGCCTCTCGCGCTCGGCCCGGCCATCCAGGCAGTGTGCTGTCCCCGTGCGGCCCCGCCGGGGTCCCGACGCCCGGGCCGCCGGGGTGAGGCGCGCTCGAGGGGGCCATCTGCCTGGGTGCGGAGAACTGCAGCGTCCGCGGTGCGAGGCGCTGCCCCTCCCGGGCCCTCGCCCCGCGCGCCCGCACCCAGCCAGGCCCGCCGGCGCCCGCAGCCCGGGCCGCGGTGCCAGGCCTAGCCCCGGCCCAGGCGCGGGAGGCGGTGCAGGGATTAGTGGACCCCTCCCCCAGGGCTCCCCCCGCCCCGCCCGGGGCGGCCAAGACCCCTGGGCCCGAGGGCGACCGAGGAGCTTCGTCCCCGCGCCGGCTGGCCTAGGGACCCGGCCTCCCTGGGCGGGGGCTGCAGGCCGAGGTGCGGGCGCGCCGCTAGGCTACCGTCCCGAAGGTCGGGGCGCGGGCTCAGAGCTAGGGGTGGGGGTCTCGGGCCTCATCCCTCGGCCGAGGCCACGGTCCTGCGGCCAGTGCCCGGGAGGGGGTCCGCCGCCCCAGCCGCCCGGAGCCGCTCACCCCGCACGGCCCGGGCGTGGGGAGGGAGAGGAGCGGGGGAGGGGGAAGGGCAGGGGTGGTGGGTGAGCGGCCGTGGGCACCGCAGGCCCGAGTCCCCGGGCCGCCTGCGCGGCGCTGGGCCGGCTGCCCGAGGCTCCCGGGCCGGGCCGGGCACCCCGCGTCGCGGGGCGTCGAGCCTGCGGCCGAAGGGGCGCCCCAGGGCCGGGCAGGCTCGGCTCGGGGACGCAGACCCGAGCTGCTGCCTCCATTTTGTTTCCTGTGCAGCTTGGTTCGCAGTGGTGGTGCTGTGGGTTTGGGGTGCGGCCGGGCCAGGGGCTTCCCCCGCGGCCACGTCTGCCCGGGGCCCGGGGCCTCGAAGAGCCTGTGCCCAGCTCCCAGGTGAGCCCTGCGGCAGGAGGGGGGCGGCCTCGGCCTCGCTCGAAGGCAGCGGGCCGAGGGCAAGTGCCCGGTGCACGGGGAGCCCGGGCTGGAACCTAAGATGGAGGCCGGGGCCGCCGCGGGCCTGGGCCGGGGCCGGCAGGCCAGGCCGCGGCCGGGCCAGGTGTCTGCGGGGTTGGGGTGTCAGGAGGCGCGGGGTGCGGGGGCCGTGCGCGAGCGGGGGCCGGCGCGGCGCCCCGAGGTAGGTGAGGGGAGCGCGGAGCCACCCACGACGCCCGCAGGCCCCGACGCTCCCCCGGGGGCGCGCGAGGCCCCCGGGGAAGCCCGCCTCGGGCCCCGCCCGGGCGGCAGGGCCAGCCCGTGGGCCCTGGGCCTG